GGGCGGGGCGGGCGGGCAGCGCGCGGGCGGCGCGCGGCCTGGGCCCGGGCCGTCTTCTGCCCCCGCGGATTGCTGGAGGTTTTCGGGAATTAACAAGCCTTTTCCTTTTCAAGTCGTCCTAGTGGCTGAGTCGATTTGACCTCTCTTATTTGACGAGCAGGACTGCCGTCAGCCTCGGGAAGTCTGCAATGATTTAAGCCCGAAAGCCACCTGAGGTAAAACCAAAACTTTCTTATGTCGTACGATTCATATGGGAGGATCGGTTGTAAATCTCGTATTAACAGTTTAAAAGGGTATAATCTTTTACGGCAAGCGAACAAGGACAGATTTAGGGTCGGTAGCTACAAATGAATTACTTTGTGATGGTGCCGCTCGCAAGTTGGGTTGGGACAGCATCAGGTGCTGGGCTTTCGGACCAAAACTGCGCAAAGTCCCACAGGTCTTGCAGTAACGCCTTGGAGGAGAGGACCATCGCCCAGGGAGCCCTCGGCTTTCAAAGTGACTGAGCGCGTCTTCAGAAACGTAAGACATTCATTGTTCTCAACTGCTGTTCAGATACCACGGCATTTCAGTTTGTTGTGAACCAGTTTGTCATCTCTCTTTAATTTGCTCGTACTTCTAAAAGCCTTGGAACGTTACTGAGAGTACAGATGATAAAATTTTGTGCAAGACGACTAATATGCAGCCTGATACATATTCTGTGACTCACACTGCCCAAAGTCAACCTCTGTTCAAACTAGCTTTGAGTTCAGATCTACTTAAATCATGGGAAACCTTTCACTTACTATGGAAATGGCTCCAGTTACTGCTCCAGCTGTTCATGTCACAAAAATTACTGCTTTCAACTAACTCATTTTAACACGTTATCTGTTATAAAAAAAAGTATATCTAGACCAAGGGGGGGGGGGTGTGGCAGAATGTAGAAATCAAGGGACGGCTCAGAGAAGCATTGCTGTCTTGGACAAATAGTTGTGGACTTCATGTGTGCAGTACCATATAAATTGATTTACAGGTCTGCCTCAGTAGT